TGCAAGCTGTAACCGCTCACATCTACATTGGCCCAGTTTGATGTGTACCATGTCCTTAGTGCCTCACAACAGTCTCGCCATTCTTGGTCCCATCTGCTAAGTGGGGAACTGAGGAGCTGAGTTATTCCCCCAAGGTCACATAGCCAGGAAGAGGGAAGCCAGGTTCTTGATTCTAGTTCTTTCTGATGTCAGGACCTGTGAGCTATTCAGCTGCAACACAGCGCTCATGATGAAATTCCAGCCTGTTGTTATCTAACAGTGATGCACAGAGGCACGGAGCCCTGGGTAAGAGCCTCCCACCAGCCAAGCACTCTTCTAAACCCTCCTCCCAAACACCCTATGAGACAAGTTAAATTAATTTGGTGGTTTTTTCCTTCTGGTACTGGGAAATGAACCCGGGGGACTCTACCAACGAGCTGCATCCCCAGCCTCCCCCACCACTTCCACTTTTAAATTTTGAGACAGAGTCTAAGTTGCCCGGGCTGGCCCAGAATTTGGGACCTACTGCCTCATCATCCAGGGTTGCTGGGATTACAGGTGTGCGCCTCCATGCCCAGATGGTTACACATATTGACTCTGAAATACAAAGGAAGTAACTAAGAAAGTAACCAAGAGGTAAATTAGTCTCCCAACATCACACAGCAGGTGTGACTCCCTACATATGCCTTCAGTATTTTACCTTCCGAGACAACGGTGGAGCCCCCATTCCATTGTATACTGGAGACATGATCTGCTTCACCCACCTCCCTGCCACCTAATCTCAATCTCTTGGGTGGACCCAATCCATGGTAAGCCACTGACATTTGTTAACTCTATTATTTGTTGACTCGTGACTTGTCTCAACTTCACAACAAACTCATAAACATTACTATTCCCATTTAAAGATAGGACTAGAGTCAAACCATGACCTTCTTCTAATCAAAACCCTACAGTGACTCTACTCAGAGCACAACTGAGACCTTAGGATGACCTCCACCTCCCCCACAGGCCCCCACAGACACCAGTGTGTCCACTCCACCCATGCCCAGGGCTGCTGCCTTGCCCAAAGTGCTCTGACTCCTTCTCTCACCTCCTTCCTGTCTGCTCCACTTTGTCTTCTCAAATTGGCTCTTGGTGACCACTGTAGCCCACGGCCAGGCCCACATCCCCACTGCTTCATCTCCCTCCATCACCATCACCTAATGCTCCACACGTTCTGCCAGCCTGTCTTGTTTTGCTGGTCTCCCTCTCCAGAGAGAGTGGTTTTTGTTTTTGTTTGGTTTTTTTTCAATATTTTGTTGTTGTTGTTTTCAGTACTGGGAATTGAACCCAGGGCCTTGCGCATGTAAGGAAACTGCTCTAACCGCCTGTTACAACCCTAGCCCTTTTAAAAAAACGTTTTTTGTATAGAGGCAGGATCTGGCTAAGTTGCTCACATGGTCTCAAACTAAAATCCTCCTGCCTCAGCCTTCCAAGTAGCTGGGATCATAAGCTGGTGCCACTGCAGAGGCGGAAAAAAAAAAAAAAAAAAAACAACGGGGGTGGCAGATACTGGAAAATGAACCCTGGGGTGCTTTACCACTGAACTACAACCCCAGTCCTTTTTAATTTTTGAGACAGGTTCTCACCAAGTTGCTTAGAACCTTGCTAAGTTGCTGAGGCTGGCCTTGAACTTGCAATCCTCCTGCTTCAGCCTCCTAAGTCACTGAGATAATAGGCACCAAACCCAGCTCAGAAGCAATGTTTACATTTTGTTCACTACTCTGTTCTCAGGACCAACAAGAGTGCCTGGCTTGATAAGTACTCATTGATTAAATTAATGAAGGAGGGGAAGAGAGAAAGTGATTGAAGAGAGAAAGTGCTTTAAGTTATGAGCCCTAGTAGCCCCTCTTAATCATTTGCTCCTGGGGAGAGGGTGTTAAAAGCAGCCCTGTGGTGGGCTACAATTGTCCAGAGGAGTGGAATTTACACCCAAATCTAACTTTTTGTCCTATGGCTTACTGGAGAGTGAGGGAATCTTGGGTGAGGTCTTCCTAAAACCCCAGCCCTATAACTCTGTCTCCTTAGCCCACTATATGACTTTGTATTTCTATGGATTTTGATTTTTAGTTGTCTGCCCTCTTGACAGCATATCCAGTCCACATGGACTGGGATTTTTGCCTGTTTTGTTCTTGTGGCATTTCTAGGGTGAAGTGGGCACTCATAAAATAGCTGCAAGTGTGTGTGTGAACAAATGAATGATGTGCCTTCCGGGCTTGGGCCAGAAGAGGTGTCCTAGGCTCTCTGCCATCAGCCTTCCCTGCAACACTCTTCCCTTCAATTTTCATGCTCCACCCTCACTAGCCTCCTCCACTGCTCCTCTACTCACCATGGTCACAGTGCCCTGTCCCCCCTGGCTGTTTACCAAGATCTTTGCCTTGCTAAATTACCTCTCATGATTCAGGTTTCACTTCTGAAGAGGCTCACCAGCCTCCTGGAGAGCCAGCATTATATTGCTTATTGTTTTTTTTGTTTCTGACCTGCCTTAATTAAACTTTAAAACTTCATAAGACAAAAAACTCTCTGCACCTCTCTCCTTCCCAACTATATGCCCTGGACCTGGAAGGGTGAATAGTCACTCCATGAACAACAAATGTCTACAGAAAGAGGTGTGTTGCACCCTAGTGGAGCCAGGGAACCTTCCCTAGGAAGTCCAGGGAAGTGTCATGCAAGCTGGCTGCAAGTGACTACAGAACTGGCTAAGGCTAGGGGAAGGAGAGCATTCTAAGAACGTCCCACTGCCGTGCTCTGTTCTAGAGCAGAAGTACTGAAGGCAGAGGAAGCCAGGATGAATGCAGGAGCAGAGTCTGGTGCTAAGCAGACAGGTTTTTCTGCTGGGGGCCTGGGAGGGGGGTGGCAGGAGGGAAGATGTGGGTATTAAAGGAGAACGCTAGAGGGAGCTGTTCGTTGAGGGGTGTGTTTGAAAGGGGTATTCTTGAGCGGAATTAAGGAGGGGTTACATGGGTAAATAGCATTTTGATCCGAATAGAAAACATTTTTACGACAAAAGGGGCTCTGGGAGTGGAATGTATGTAATCATCGTTAGTGGGGGGCAGTTATGTCGCAAAGCACGAATGCAGCCCTCTTCGGAGGCAGTCCTTTAGGGTTCACGAGCCACCTGCACTAGAAGAGGAGCAATGCTGGTGGCATCGGGGGACTGCCCTGCAAAAGAAGCAATGACGGGGAACTCTGTGAAAGAGATCCTAGAGAAAGCATTGGTGGGGGGCCTGGCAGGTGAGGGGACCGTCACGAATGAAGGCGCTCTGGCAGCCGTCCGAGCAGGGGGCGTTCATGCGGGACACATCTGGAGCGGCCTTTTGGAGAGCAGTGTGTGTGGGGGGGCCCTGGCTAGCGCCCGGCACAGAAGCACTGACGTTCTGGGGGGGCGTCCTGAGGACCGCTGCAGTCCAGGGCGGAGCCCCCCGCCCCCGCCGCCCGGGCCCCCGGGCCGCGCGCCCGTCACTCACCGGCGCCGGGGTCTCCGCCGGGAGGAGGCCGAGAAGGCGGAGGAGGCTCCGCCGCTCCGGGGAGACCCGAGGGCCCTACCGGAAGTGCCGCCCCCTCCCCCTCCCCGGCAGCCCCGCGCCGCCCGCCCGGAAGCGGAAGTCGCGCCCGTTCCCGAGGCGCCGGCGTGGAGGACGGAAGGAGGCGGTAGCGGCGGCGGCGGCGGCGCGGGGAGGGGCAATGCGCCTGCGCACTATCGCGGGGATAAGGGCGGGGAAGGCCTAGGCGGCTTCCGGTGGGTCAGCGGAGTCAGGTGCGCCTGCGCTGTGTGTGCCCGCTTCTTCCTCCGGCACCGCCCACGTGCTGCGGACATCCGGTTAAGGCACACCCTGAGCTCCGGTCCCACGCTTGGGCCACGCCCCCGGACTTTGAGCCACGCCTACCTTGCTGCAATCTTTATAGGCTCCGCCCTCGCCCCAAACCTGTACCTTTCGCCCCACCTCCACCAAGTTTCTCCGTCTTTCCTCTCTCCAAGACTCTATGCTCTGGAGCTCCACCCTCCCTCCCAAGCCCTGCCACGCCCCTTCGAAGCCCTGACCGGGGGGGGGGGGGGGGGGGGGGCTCTTAAACTGTGTCTGCCCCTTGGATTTAAGTTCTGTCCTTTTTCCCACAGCTGCGCGACCCTCATAACTTGTATGTATGGTTATGCCTCACACTTAAAGCATCTCCTTGAACCAGTGGTTCTTGAGTAGCAAGGATCCGTCTCCAGCTCCTTGCCCCAAACCTCTCAGTAGAAGAGACCTATGTGGTGGGGCCTAGCGTCTGTGTTTGAAAATACCCTTCAGGAGGGTCTCTTGAGCTCAACCACAGATTTACCACACTTGACACTGCTCCCCTCACATAACTCCATAAACCTCCCAACTCAGCCCTACCTCAAGTAGGGAAGCCCAGATCTATTCAGCTCCCCCTCTCTCAGGTACCTCCTTCTCCTTAGTCATGTCCACCCCCCAGCACTTTCTAACAGTTAAGTCATACTTCTAATACTTTGTCTTTCAAAAGCTCTCTCTCTAGTCCCATCCCTCAGGTAAACTCTAGCCCATTCTCTGAAAGTCATTCTCTTTCTTCTGGCCAACCTTAACCTCTTTAAACCATCCCCAGCCTTTGCACCTTCTAAGACCCGCCCTAATGCCCCCTAACTGCCCAATAAGGCTTGCACTTCGGCCAAGCCCCCCCCCCCCTTCTTTTGATAAACCCTACCGAAATTCAGTCCTCTTATCTTCAAGTTTTGTGGTTTTTTTTTTTTTCCTTTTTAGTGCTGGAGGTTGAACCCAGGGGCTTGCATATATGCAAGGCACACAGTCTCAGACTGAGTTCTATCCCAGCCCTCAACTCAGTGTTTCATTGCAAACTGTGGGTCCACCGAGGCAGGACCTACATGTCAGGAATTTGGCAAGGATGAGGGGAGCCTAGAGTCACATTTGCATAGAAGATCACTGTTTTACTTAGTCTGGCTTTTTATTGGTAGTACTTTGGGGTCCGGTGGAAATGGGAGAGGAGCAAAGGCTTCTTCTGAGCCATTCTTTGGCGCCATGCTAGCGAGGCACGTGACGTGGGGTTATTTGGAATCCCACGCACTTCTGTCAGGGCGGTGCAGCCGCTGAACACTGCAACGGAGAAGAGGCATCATCATGGAACACACAGAGGAAGCCAGTAGGCAGGGATTTATTGCCACAGCCCCTGCCTCCAGGGGCCTGTTAGTCCGTAGGAAGGTGCCACAAGGCAGCAGGACCTGGAGGTGTAGGTCCCTAGCCTCGACCCCCTCCCAAGACAGGAAGACCACCAGAAGCGAGGGTGTCCTGGCCCACTTGCCTGGGCCCGGTGCCAGCTGAGCTCCTGGCTGTAAGCCAGGACCGGGAAGCAGAGGCCGAGGGTGCAGGACAGGCGGGCTCGTTCCCCTCAGGCCCCTCCTCGCACACCCCAGCTGTGGCCGGGATGCCTTCTTCTTCGTCCCACGGCGACTCGGGCCTTGGGTCAGGGGGACACAGGGGCATTCCCAAGGCCTCTGGGTGCTTGCGTTTGGAATGGCGCCGCAGGGTGTTGGCCTCGGTGAAGCGCAGCCAGCACACTGGGCACTGGTATGGGCGCTCACCGGAGTGCACGCGGTGGTGATGTGCCAGCTCGCCTGCCTCGCGGAAGCGGCGCGGGCACAGCTGGCAGCAGAAGGGCCGCAGGCCGGCATGGATGTTGCAGTGCCGCCGCAGGTGGCTGGACCGCTTGAAGGTCTTGCCGCAATCCTTGCACTCATGCGGCTTCAGCTCCGAGTGTGAGATGCTGTGGCGCTCCAGGTCGGAGAGGTAGGGGAAGGCGCGCAGACACACAGGGCAGAAGTGCGGGGCCCTTCTGGAGACAGAGCCCTGGGGCCCACCTGCAGCCGACCTTTCTGAGACTGTATAGGGTACACCCTGATCATCGATCAACAGGAGGTCGCTGCCACCACCACTGCCCACCTGTGAGGTCAGCTCCTGCGCCAGCGGGGGCTCTTGCCCTGACTTGGGGGGGCGGCCCCGCTTGCGAGGGAAGGAGGCCTTGAGGGTCCGATTTGAGGAGGCGGCTCCCCCGGGAGGTCTGCCTCTGCGGCCCCGGGGAACAGGAGGAAGTAAGGCCAGAGGTTTCTCTTCCTCCCCAGTCAAAGTCGAAGGCAACGGGTCTGGGCTGGGGGTGTCCATTGAGCAGTGAGGGGCTTGGGTCTGGGCACTGGAGCCGGCTAAGAGGAGAGAGGGGCAGCGTCAGTGTGGGGAGGGTCTCCAGCACCCCGTGTACCCCAACATGTCACCCAACCCTGGCTCCAAGTCTCTTGACCTGAATATGATTGACCTTACCCAGACAATTATAGCCATGCTGGTGGGTAAAACAATAAGATAATTTAGTACTGGTTCATAAACGGGCACTGCCCTGATTTCCACAAATGTCCCCCATGCCCCACAATCTGTTCCCTTGACCAGGGAATTCAAGATCAACATTAGCTAAATAAAGAAAAATAAGGGTTCAACTGAGAGTGCAAGCCTCAAAATAGCCCATCAAATTCCAGAGCCATAGAGGTTTCAGAGATTTCCTTCCTGATTAGCAGAAGAAGGGAAGGGTTCAGGACTAGAAGAAAGGAATCAGTCCTAGGTGAAGTTTGACCCTAATTCGTGCAAGAGGAAATATATCCACATTGCTAAGTTTGGCCTCTGGAGTCAGATATCCCAAGTTCAAATTCAGAGTCTGTCACTTCCTCTCTCTGTGGCCTTGGGCAAGGTGTTCACTTCTCCCAGCTCAATTAAGTCTTTCACAAAATGGGATTCTGTTCTACTTGCCCGCCCAGACATGCCATAGGACAATATTTTACACAGAAGAGCCCTCATTAGCATCATGCCCTCTTCATTAGCATCATGCCGCAGCTAAGTCTCACACCAACCTTCTGAATGAGGATGCACCTTCCCCATTTTGCAAATGGGGTAACTGAGATACAGGAAAGCCAAGTCAGCTAAGTTCCCTCTGATAGTTAGTGCAAGGCCAAGACTCCAATCCGGTGTTGCTGACCACAGTGGCTCAGGGAATGAGAAGAAATGGACCCAAGGAGATAGAGGACAGTATGAAGTCTCTCAGACCCAGGTTTAAATCCAGCTCTACCCATAATAAGCAAGTGGTTGTACGTCTCTGAACCAGTTTCCTTCTCCGTAAAATGCTATATCTGGTTTGTGGGAGAGTAATAAGGAATAAGGAAGGGGCTTTAAAATGCCCCAACCTACTGGTGCACAGTGAAACGACAACCAACATCACCATCTTCCCGGAGCCAACTATAACCTGGGAGCATGGGATCGGGGTATAACTGGAGGAGTAGCACGAGTGCGCCGCGCCCACGTTTAGACTTGTTTTTTTGTGGTGCTGGGGATGGAACCTAGGGCCTTGACTATGGTAAGCAAGTGCTCTACCACCCGCAGCCCCCAACCCCCTTTAATGGACACACAGCGGCCTGAAATCCAAAGCGCGACAATCTCTCAACGACCATATGGTTCGCTCCCGTGGGGTAACCCGGACGGGGAGGTGGACCTCTGAAACACGGGAGGAGAGCACCTGGTCCCTCGACCCTCCCCCACTCCCATTCCTTGCGGGCGCGCGCCCGTCGGACCGGAGCGGTGGAGCCCGCGCGCGGGGCGGGCCCTGCGGGGGCGGCGGCCAATGAGCGGCGCGGGGGCCGCAAGCAGCGAGAGCTGCCAGGAGGGGGTCTGCGCGCGCGAGCCCGGCGGCTCCGCGGGGCGCGAGGTCGGCGCGCGCAAGGGCGAGCGCGGGAGCAGGTGTTGGGCCGCGCTCCTGCGCGCTCCCGGCCACCTATCCCCCATCCCCCTCCCCCCTCCCGGGTCCCCCGCCTCCCGGGTACCTCATTTGCATGCCGCCTTGGGCTCGCGTGTGTGCACGCGCGCGGGGGGCGACGGGCCGGCGCGTGGGAAGGGGCGGGGGCGAGGGGGCCCTGCCCCTCGGCGGCGGCGGGGAGGGGGCGGGGGCGCGCGGGCCCGGCCCCGCCCCTCGGAGCGGACGCCAGCGGCCCCTCCCCTCGCCGCCCGCGGGGAACAAAGGGTACTCGCTGGGTCCTAAGGACCGGTCACGTCCGTGCCGGCAGAGGCGCACAAGTCGCCGGATTTGCCCCAGTGGGAATGAGCCCATCACCACATCCCTGACCACATCAAAATGCCTTTCCTCCCAGAAAGCACCCAACCGGGTGATCCAATCAAAGATGGGTCGGAAAGATGAGAAGCGGGAAATGTCTACTTAGTGCCCGCAGCTAACATGGCGCCTGATAGCTTCAAGGCCCCATGGAGGATTAAATAGAAAAGATGGTGCCTGGTGTTTTCTATCTGTATTGCACTTGGCACAATTCAGTTTCTCTCTTCCTTCCAGATGCAACTCGGCATCCTGTAAAGAAGTAGTGCGAGACTGGGGAAAAGGAATCATAACTGTCTATGTTAGCACCAGTTAGCGTCATTGTAGACTGCAGGAATCCGCAGGCTGAGCTTATTGCCCTGACGCTATGCAGCGCCGGGGATGATCATAGGCCCCGCCCCTCTGCCCTCAACCAAGATGGCGCCGATATGGCTTCTCTAACTTTCAAGCCCAGGAAAGGGAAAGAAGGAGAAGGGCGGGGTGGAGTGGAAAGGGGGAGTCGAGGGGGCGGGAGAAGGGGGGGGGGAGAAGGGAGCCGAGGCGGAAGTTGAGGGGCCCCCCGGGTGGAAGTGACGCTACCCCCGCTGCCCAAAATGTCGGCGCCCAGAGGGAGGTGTAAGTAATTAAAGAGGAAAGCGGACTGATTTCCCTGGCCTCTCGAGGCCTCATCAAGCTTCCAGGACCTCCGCCCTGTTTGAGCGAGGTGGACCTGCTCGGTCCCGGCTCGCCTGACCTGCCCCCGCCCCGAGTGCCCGGGGCCGAACCTTCTAGGGCCAGGGGGAGGGGCACAAAGGGCCGTTTTTCGGGCCTGGGTCTCTGAGCCGACTGTGCTGGGGGGGGCCGATTCTGCTAGCCGTGGGGAGCACGAGGGGGCGGGGCCTAGTGGTGATGTGGGCGGAACAGGGACCGGAGGAGCCGAGGGGCGGGGCTTGTTGTGGGTGGGGCTTCGTACATTTTAAGGGTCTGTGGATAGAAACTGGGAGGAGCTTAGGTAAGGGGTGGGGCTTTAATACTGTGGTGGGTGGGGCCTATATTGAAAGGCAGAAGGAACTCTGTTTAAGGCCTGCTGGGAAAATAGGGTCCAGGAAGAGGGCTGGAGGAGCTTAGGGTAGAAGGGGTAGAGTTTGTCTGGGGTGGGGTTTGGTTCTGAGAGGGGGCCCAGGTTTAGGTGTGTAATTTGGTGAGTTCCAAAGAACTATCAAGTCTCTATAATAAAAGTGAAAGAATTTGGAGAGGATGGAGAGGGCTCAGTAGCCAACTAAGAAAGGGTGGAGGAAGTTATAGGAGTGGAGTGGGGATTGATCTTGGAAAGGATGGGGGCTATTTGAAGGAAAAAATGTATGGTATTGGAAGTCAGATCTTGTTAAAGTACAAAGATTGGAGAAGTCGGATGACTTGGAAAGCATGGGGGTGCTAAACTAAGAAAGTAGGAGGGCCCTTACAGATAGGGGTAGTCAACAGCACACTTGCTGAGTCTCGACTGTGCGCTGGCTCACGTGAGCACAAGCATACTTGCCTGGCTGTGGCTCAGTGCCTGCCACCATTCCATGAGGTAGATACTAGAATCTTTCCCTTCTTACAGAGGACCAGAGTTTTGACTGGTTTTATCTAGGTTGCACAGCTAGTTTTGGTCTTCCTGGAAGCATGACACTGGTGTGCTTAGCTGCAAATCCTTGTCCTCCTGTTCACTAAGCAGTCATCTTCAAAGAAGTGTAGGAGAGGCTTTTGGAGGGAAAGTGGCATGGCCAGGGATACGTGATGTTTAAGGAATAGAACTAGTGTCTCCAAAGGAGTGGTGGGACCTGCATCAGAGTGGGAGGGGTTTAGAGAGGATCCAGAGAGGCTTAACACGGTGACTTGAGTAGAAGTGACACGGTAGTGGTTATGAAGATTGGCAGATGAATGAAGAAGAGGGAGAAAGGTTTGTAAGAAGAATCTTAAGAACAGTGGGTGTGGTTAGTGTGGTGGGCGTCGCTTAGCAGTAGGAAGGTCTCCAAGGGGTCTGGTGTGGGACCTGTGAGCCTAAGGGGCCAACAGGGAGGTGATCCCTTCAACTGCTCTGTGTTTCCTCCCTACTCTAGAAAGCCCCCAGCCACCATTGTGCCACCTGTCACCATGGATGAAGCCCGGCTGCCGGCACCCCCGGCTCCTGCCCCTGCACCTGCTACAGCACAGGCAACACCCGCTGCAGCCCCCCGCGTCCCATTTCACTGCAGCGAATGTGGCAAGAGCTTCCGCTACCGTTCGGACCTGCGGCGTCACTTCGCTCGGCACACAGCTCTCAAGCCCCATGCGTGTCCACGCTGTGGCAAGGGCTTCAAGCACAGCTTCAACCTGGCCAACCACCTGCGCTCCCACACGGGGGAGCGGCCCTACCGCTGCTCTGCCTGTCCCAAGGGTTTCCGCGACTCCACAGGCCTGCTGCACCACCAGGTGAGTCTGCAGGCCCATACAGCCCGCACAGGGTTGAGAGGCAGCAGATCGAGGCTCGTGCACTTGTTTCCTCCCATAGAGAATTTCTCCTTTCCTCCCTCCGCCCATCACACACACACAACATGCTAGTAAGTTGCCCCTCCCATGTGGCCCTCGCTCTGCCCCCTGCCAGGGCCTGCCCTGTGCATCCCTTCCCTATCGTAAAATAGTTTTATCACATGTACATATAATTTCTTTATTTCACAACTACCAATTGAGGGCTTTGCCTGGGCCCAACACTGAGGTTGCCAGGATAAAATCAATTAAATATCAGCTTTCAGAGAATTTATGTTCCTTTGGAGAAGGACAGTGGCCAGGAAAGTGATAAGAAAGCAGTTCCACAGATAAGAATGTTCTGGGAAAGGAGAAGTGTTGGGAAGGATGTTTTTAATAAATAAGTAAAATTGACATGGGGAGTGCAGGAGGGGAGATGGAGAAAGGTCAGGCCAAGGCCATGTTTGAGCTGGACCTGAGTCTGAGAAGGAGTCCATGTGGGAACAGCATTCCAACAGGAGGGATGCCCGCACAGAGGCCCCAGATGGGAAGAAGCTTGGTGTGTTCAAGGACTGATTGGAGACTGTGGTTGGGCAGAGTGGAGGCAGGCGGGGCAGACCCACATCCACCCGGAAAACCATGTCTGAGGGCCAGACACCCTGCTAGGGCCAGGCAGACCTGGTTGACAGTGGTCTTCCACATCCCCATCTCTGTCCCCTGGCATCTCTCTTGGTTCAGAACATCATGTCCTTGATGTTGGCCCCAACTCTAGTGGTGTCCCCTCCTCCTGTTTCCCTCTCTCATGTCCAGTGTTTTCATCCATCAAAGAGACCAAGTACCCACTGCTTACAGTCCTTAATGCTCAGGCAACAAGTCCCTCCACTCATGGACATCTGCCCACTCCCACCAGAAGGTTATGGTCCGACGGAACCCTTCAGTGAGCCCGACTCTAAGTCAGGTTCTTCAGGGAAAACACAGTCCCCCTTCAAAACCCCCACATCCAACAGTCCAGGGAGGGGGACATTGATTGACACCAGGTTAGTAACCGTTAGACTGCTGCCAGAACGTTTTGGGGGGTGAGGAGAGCCGGTAAAGTGGGTTGGGCGGGGTCGAGGATGCTGCTTCTGAGAATGATACCTCTGCTCAACAGGCAGGAGAGGGCTGCCCAAGCCCAGGAAGTGCACGTGTTCATGGAAGCAGGATAGGCATTTCAGGAGCCGGATGTGTGGCCAGGGACAGTGTGGCCAGGGGGCCAGGGACAGCATGGTACCAGAGAAGGCTGCAGAGTCCACTGGTCCTGGGGCATCCAGTAAGCACAGGACCCTGGAACCACAGCAGTAAGCAGACTGATCTGGTTCCTCTTTCCTCTTTGCTTACGTGCTGGGGAGACAACAATACCCAGATGGGTTGTAGAAACTCAGAAGGGAGAGGATGGATGCCAGGAGGGAGCTGAGGGCAAGGGAGCTGACAGATACACTGACACTCTCCCCAGTAAGGGAGGAGCCTGTCATGGAAAAGAGCCTTCCAGGCAATGAAAACAACATGTGCAAAGGTCCTGAGGCCAGCACAAGCTTGTGTGTTAGAAAGGCAGGTGGACAGAGAATAAATCTAGCAAGAAGAGAGAGTTCCATGCACCCCATTGTACTGCAGACATCACCATGTCTGGAGCCAGAATGGCAGATCGGCACCACTTCTGGTTCTTCCTTTAGGTCCTTGCCCCTGGTAGACATTTCAATTACACCGAACTCTCATCAACCCTCACAGGCCTCAAGGCAAATATTACCAATCAGTAGGACTCTACTCTCAGAAAGCTCTTATCCATAAAGGTGAATGATGTTTCAGATTTCTGGTTTCTCCCTGTCTGCAGGCCGAGCTGAGCCTCAGAAAAACACATTTCTGGGAGAATCTGATTTCCTAAATCTGGAAGTGATTCCCTGGATCAATATTTGTTTAAAAAAAAAAAATTAGGTGGGACTCTGAAAAGCAGCCAGATTTGGTTCAAATCACAGCTCTGCCTTGATAGACCTGAGGGCCATTAGTGACCAGCTGGTGACAGCAGGCTTGACACTGGGTGAGGCCCCTCCCAGGCTGGCCTCTGGGACTCTGGAACCATTAGCTGCAGTGAAGGGGGGGCAGCAGGTGTGGCCTGTGCTGCAGCAGGGGCAGGGTCGGTGATGCCGGCTGCCGGGCTTCACGCATGGTGACAGGTGGCACAGTGATGGGTGGGGGCTTTCTAGAGTAGGGAAGAGACTGGAGTGGGTGAGGGGGTCACCTCCCTGTCTGTGAATGTGGCTAGCGCTTCCACTGCCCTTCAGGCCTGCGCTTCACCTCTCCAGGCACACGGCCAGGCCCTCACTGGCACCAGCCACATTCCAATGCTCAGTAGTAGCACATGTGCTCGTGACTAGTTTATCGGGCAGTATGAATGTAGGACATTTCCATCATCACACAAGTCTGTTGGACTCAGAAGGTTCCCCGTGTACCTTGAAACGCCACCTCCCACCTAGGCATATGTAAGAGCCCTGTCCACCTGTCCCATTGTATGCTGGTTTAGAGAACACGGAGAGGGTCGTTAGCCATGGTAGCATGCCGACCTAGTAATTATCTTGTGGCCATTTCCCTGTGTCCTCACAGCAGCACTGTGAGATGGCTAGTCTCATTCTGCCCATTTACAGAAGGGAAAAGCAGAGGTCAAGAGATTCAAAGCTGGGGCTGGGGCTCAGCATAGAGCGCTCACCTAGCACATAGGAGGTCCTGGTTCGACCCTCAGCACATATAAAAAATAGATAAAATGAAGGTATTGTGTACAATAAAGAATAAGTATTTTAAAAAAGAGAGATTCAAAGCCACTTGCTTCCGTATGCACAGAATAGAAGACCCCAGGGATTTGACCCCAGGCCTGGACCACTCTCCCAGGGAGTCACACCCCTAAGTAGGCCCATTGGAGAGGATTAGGACTTAGCCAGGAAGAGTGGCAGGAAGTGTGTCCACCCCCCACCCCCCACGCGCCCTGGGCACAGCATCTGCAGAGGTCTTAGGTGGAAGGGACTTGGTCTTGAGCACTGAAACATGCCTGCGTGGCCCAAAGTAGAGAGTGGGCTTGCGCGTGTGGAATCCGGGTGGGAAAGCTTGGGCCTCCTCCTTCTCGGTGTCCCGGAATCTGCCACACGGAAAGCCCCTCTGTGCTGACACTGTGTTCCACTCCCAGGTCGTCCACACTGGTGAGAAGCCGTACTGCTGCCTGGTCTGCGAGCTCCGCTTCTCCTCGCGTTCCAGCCTGGGCCGCCACCTCAAGCGCCAGCACCGCGGGGTGCTCCCAGCACCGCTGCAGCCTGGCCCGGGCCTGCCCGCCCTGAGCGCACCCTGCTCCGTCTGCTGCAACGTGGGGCCCTGCTCGGTGTGCGGGGGCGCGGGGACCGGCAGTGGAGAGGGCCTGGAGGGCGCGGGCGCGGGCAGCTGGGGGCTGGCAGAGGCGGCAGCTGCAGCCGCAGCCTCCTTGCCTCCGTTTGCTTGCGGCGCCTGCGCACGGCGCTTCGACCACGGCCGCGAGCTGGCAGCCCACTGGGCCGCGCACACAGACGTGAAGCCCTTCAAGTGCCCGCGCTGCGAGCGCGACTTCAACGCGCCCGCGCTGCTGGAGCGGCACAAGCTGACCCACGACCTGCAGGGTGCTGGCGCACCCCCTGTGCAGGTCTGGGTCCCGGGGGCCAGCAGTGGGCTGGAGACAGCCCGCGAGGGCGGCTCAGCCGAGGCAGGCGACGCTCGATCGGCTTGGGACGGCGGGCTACTCCTGGGCCCCACCGGGGGTGGCGTGCCCGAGCTCGGGGGGCTGCTTCCGGAGGGCGGCGGTGAGGCCCCAGCGCGGGGTGCAGCGGCCGAGCCGTCGGAAGACACCCTGTACCAATGCGACTGCGGGACGTTCTTCGCGTCGGCTGCGGCGCTGGCCAGCCACCTGGAGGCTCACTCGGGTCCAGCCACCTACGGCTGTGGCCACTGCGGGGCGCTGTACGCGGCGCTGGCGGCCCTGGAGGAGCACCGGCGGGTCAGCCATGGCGAGGGCGGCGGGGAGGAGGCGGCAGCGGCGGCTCCTGGGGGGCAGCCGGCATCCGGGGAGCCTGCGTCGGGCTCCGGCCGCGGCAAGAAGATCTTTGGCTGCTCTGAGTGCGAGAAGCTGTTCCGCTCCCCCCGCGACCTGGAGCGGCACGTGCTGGTGCACACCGGCGAGAAGCCGTTCCCGTGCCTCGAGTGCGGCAAGTTCTTCCGGCACGAGTGCTACCTCAAGCGCCACCGGCTGCTGCATGGCACCGAGCGGCCCTTCCCCTGCCACATCTGCGGCAAGGGCTTCATCACGCTCAGCAACCTCTCTAGGCACCTGAAGCTGCACCGGGGCATGGACTGAACCGCGAGGCCGCGCAGCCCTCAACCCAACCAACCCAGGGACTGGACTTGGCCCTGCCAGGGACCTCAGGACTGTGTGCAGGTGAGGCCCCGGCCCTTCAAGTCCAGAGCCAAGGCCCTAAGATGAGGCCCCGACCTGGCGATGGGGCCACCCAGAGCCCACACAGGCCCCTGAGCTGGGGGACCACAAAGAAAGAGACCTCTTCCAACGAAGGGGTCGGAGAACATATTCATTGGGGGACCTAAACCTACGGAGAGACTCCTGAGCTTGAGACCCCAGGAATGCGTGTGGGCAACCCCAATCAATAGGCCTCTAAGATGTGGGGACCTACAAATGAGAAATGGGTCTCCACCAGCACCTCTCAGCTAATTAAGTGTGGGTATCTCCAAGGGAAGACTGCCCGCTCCCAGACAGCCATCGTTCTCCATGACCTTGATCTGGGGAATGCAGGGACCGTGTTCCCAAATCTTCCAGGATCCCCTCCAAATACTACCCACCAGTCACTGGTGACCCCAGAAAATGAATATAGCCGAAATCTGCCTTTCCCCCATTTCATTCCCAATACTGAAAGAGGACCAGGGTAGATGACCTTGCCTTCAACTCCCCCACCTTCCAATTAGGTCCCTTTCTTTACCACTGAATGGATCGACCCTAAGGATCTTCCCCCACCCCCAAACACTAGGATAGACTGGTCCGAAATCCCCCTAGCCAGTAGGATGGACTGACCCAAATGCACTGGGCTGGTCCACATAGTGGTCTGGCCCCACCCTTCTTAGAGTGAATAGGACAGACACTCCCTTATCCTGTAGAGTGTGGCTGGGTCCACGTTACTCCACATCCTGTGACCTCATCCAGGTGGAGGTGGTGGGCTTTGGGGTTTTCCTCCCCAGCTCCTGTAGCACTAGTCCATCTTTCTCTCCATCTCTGTTGGTTTGTCTCTGTGTTCCTCCTAACCCCAAGGGGAAGGGGGGAAATTGGCTAGGGGATTCCCCCCTTGTGAGCCTTGACTTTGCCCCCTTCTCCCACTCCCCAGTGTCTCCAGGACCCCAATAAACCTTGTCCTGTCAATCACTACTGTCTCATTTTCTGATTGGGGGCTTAGAGACAGCCCAGGAAAAGACTCTGCCCCTCAGACAGCCATCTGGCAAGATCCTTAGATCCTAAGAAAGACCTCTAGATCATCAGGATAGGTGGTACCAGTAGCCCGGTCACATTCACACACACAACTCTGGGAGTCAGGCCTTGTACCCCCTCTGGGACCCCACGGTAAGCAAATAGCTGATCCCGGCTCTGGTACATTTACATTCTAGTGAGTGGGCGACAGGGTAGGAGCAAGAGGAACCAACAGTGGAGGTAATTTCAGGTGGTCCTGAGCACTCTGAAGGCAACAGGAAATGGCGAGTGGCTAGGCTATGCCACCTCCCATGAGCAGTTAGGGTGGGCTTCCCTGACATTCCTCCACTTCGGAGTCCTGAAAGATGAGGAGTGGCTGGCCAGGAGGAGAGTGAACTCAGGAAAAGAGGGAGGAGATGAGGTGGAGAGGTAGGCAGAGGTCAGACCACGCAGGGCCAGGGAACTCAAGATGAGCATTTGACCGACCAGACGGTTACGCGGTGCAGATGGCCAGCTCTCTGGCTCAGGGGAGAAGGAGCCGGAGCCTGCAAAGGGAAAGAAGTAGAGGACTAGTCAGTCTGCCAGGAGGGAGTAGTGACAGTCTGGGCCAGCTGGTGAGAGAAATAGTGGGAGGGATTTGGTGTGAAGGCTGGAGGTAGAATGCAGAGGCTGGGTTGTGTGCATGTGTGGCTTACCTGTGTGTCCAAGGTGGGAGGAGCGTGCACTGGAAAGGGAGGAATCAGAAGTAAGTGGGTGGGTGGTGGCACTTGGAATCAGGACCAGAGGACAAGTTAAGGTCAGGGCTTGAGGAATCAGAGCTCTTCTATGTAAACTGAAGATGCCCGGTAGATTGGCATTCTCTAAGATTGAATGCCAATATGCATTCCCTGCGATGCAGTGATTCTGCCAGCCATAAACCCTGGAGTCAGTCATGTTCACCGGCACTAGGAGACCCAGGAGAATGTTCACAGCAGCAATGTCTATATACCCAAATTCAGAACCACCAAAATGTCCATCAAGAACACAGTAGAGGACTGGGGATGTGGCTCAAGCCGGTAGCGGGCTCACCTGGCAGCCCGGGTTCAATCCTCAGCACCACATACAAAGATGTTGTGTCCGCCGAAAACTAAAAAAAAAATAAATAAATATTAAAATTCTCTCTCTCTCTCTCTCTCTCTCTCTCTCTCTAAAAAAAGAAAGAACACAGTAGATTGGGCCTAGGGGTAGCTCAGTGGTAGGTAGAACACTTGCCTAGTGCGTTGGAGCCCTGGGTTCCATCCCTAGCACCCCCCAACACACACACTCATGAGTACAGTGGCTAAATGGTGATGGTGCATTAGGCCATGGAATACTGAGCAGCACTGAGGGTGGACAAGAGCACACACAGGTACTTGTGTGAAAGCACGACTCCATGCACACGGCATTCCAAAGCAAGCTGCTGCAGTGTTCAGGATGCATCATGGGTAGTAACTGGTACAGAAAAACTCTTCTCTATAAAACTCAGAGTAGTGGGCTAGACAGCTAAGCTCAGGCGGAGGCCAGAAGGTTTCTACAGTTGCTGATGGACCGTGATGTCCTGTTTCTTCATCTGAGGATCATCTTAAAATTTTTGTTCAATTATTCGTTTGTGTTGTGCAGTTTCCCTAAGTTTTAGTTTGCAAGGGGAGACCATGTTAAGGAGGGAGATGTGGGGGCGGAAACAAGTAACAGTTTGAAGCTCAAGGAAGACTGGCTGAGATCCACAATTACCAGTTTGAAAAGGCTCCACCTCTTGGGAACAAGGTCAGCCCCGCCTGGGGGAGGGGACGCTAGACCTTGGACATACTCCTCTCTACACCACCAGACTGATCCCTGCGTGTTGCCGTGGGATGCGGTGGTCCCTGTTGGAGAAGCAGGGCCACCACCTTAGGTACAGGCACCGCCCCCAGGGACAAGACAGCCTCCTCTCCAGTCCTGCCTGGAGACAGCTGTCCAGGGGTCTAGGCCTGGACCCACGCCAGGGTTGTCATGGAGATTGCAGCGGGCTGCGGAGTTAAAAACAGGACCCTGCAAAGCCTGAGGCTCCCACCCACCTCAACCTCTCCCACAATCCTGGTGCTTCCCAGGTGCAACAAGAGCCTCTTTTCATTTCCTGAGTGCCTCCCAAATGCGCGCGCTGAATTGCCCTCTGCTGGTCTCACTGTGGCCGGGTTTCATAGATGTGCTAATTTAAGAGAGGCCGGCAGCTCCCGGCCACCTGATCTCCGCAACTCCCCTCCCCTTATTGCTCCCTTTACACAACACCCGAGTTTTCCTCATTCCTCCCCACCTCTGTGTTTGCCACAAATATTTGGTGCTATGGGTAGAGTGGTTTGGCAAATGGGCAAGACAATCCCTTGCCCTCGTGGAGTTTCTGATCTAGTGGGAGGGGAGGCCGAGCACAGGTGGTCCAGGGTCGGCCGCAGTAAGGATGATTGATACCCAGAGCTTGGCCTTGTCTCCATGCCAATCCAATAAGAAGGACAAGGTTTCGAGAAAAAGGGAAAAGAAGTCTTTGCTAGCAAAGGAGAAGCCAGGGGACTCCTGTCCCCGAGGCTGTGCTTCTGTCAGGGGAACAGAGGCGTTTAAAGAGGCAGTTCAAAGGCCACACGGCAGCTGCGCCCTGTGGGCAGTCGTGATTCATCTGCAGCCTTGCCAGCTGTTTCTTAGGTCCTCAGGGGGCCCACTGCAAAGTCTGGGCTCCATTCTTGTCCTCTGTGAACCAAAGGACAGATAACTCGGCCTAGGATGGGAAAAGGTTAATCTTTCTTCCGCCATGGTTATGGAGAGAGAAAGGGGAAAGCGGGTGGGGTGTCAGTTTAAAAATAAACCACAGCGACACGGCAGTGATATGGGCGAGGGGGGCCTGTGGCACAGTGCTGAAGACGGAAGGCAGTTTTAGCTAGGGAGGACAGGGCAGGAGGCTGGGCTCCGCGCGGAGTGCCGGGAGCAGGGGAAACTCTACCAAGTGGCACGTGCAAATGCCCTGAGCCCAGGAAGAGAAGAGAGGGTGTTGGCGGGGCCGAAGAAGCAGGAGAGCCGTCCTCTAGGGGGAGAGGGGCATGCAGAGCCTTGTGGCCGGGGGTTCGTGTGCCTGTTAGGGTCAGCGGGGGGAGGCCTGGGTTTATTCCGGAGGACGTGAGGAGCCACCTGGGCGGCTTTGGAGGCAGGGGACTGGACACCGGCGACGACGTGAAGCGGAAGAGCCAACGAGGCGGCGGTAGCCCCGGACCGGCAGCCCCGCCTGTCCCTGGGCGCCAGGCCCCGCCCCTGCCCGGGCCGCCTCCCGCGGGCCCAGCGCACCTGCGCCCGGGCCTCCTCCCCGCGCGCCCGGTCTCCCAGGCATCCGGCCTGGCCTCCACGGGTCCCGCAGGGATTTTTCCAACACACTAATCAGATCATGTGACTCTCCTTAAAACTTTTCAGTGCTTCTCAGTGCACTCGGAACGACTCCAAGCGCAGCCTGCACCAGGAGGCCCCGCACTTCCCGGCGCAGGGCGCTGGCCTCCAAGCCGCCTTTGCTGCCCAAACCAAGCCATCAAATCCCTCGCAAGCCACAGCCCCCTTACCGTCTTCTGCTTCAGTTTCTTTTCTATCATGCCCATTCCTGAATTCTTATTTTTTAAAGAAAGAATCCTGGCCTTTGCAATGGATGACAAAATGACATAGGTACATACCCCAGGGAATTCAGAACAGCTAGCTCTCCAACAAAAATGTTCACAGTGATGTTTACAACAGCACTATTCCCCATGGCAAAAGATGGAAGCGGCCCAAACGTTCACCAACAGATAAATAAAATATAGTTTATTCGTGTAATGGAATATTATTCAGCCACAAAAAGGAATGATTCGCCTATTCACCTACAACATGGGTGTTTCTGGAAAACATGAGGCTATGGGCCGCAGTTGTGGCTCAGTGGTAGAGTGCTTGCCTAGCATGCATGAGGCACTGGGTTCAATCCCCAACACCACATTAAAAATAAATAATAAAAATAAAGGTATTGTGTCCATCTACAACTTAAAAAAAAAGAGGCTAAGTGGGAGCAGCTGTTGCAAAAGACCACAGGTTTTATCATGTCATTTATATTAGACACACACAGTAGGCGAATCCGGAGCCGGCAGACGGGAACCAGGCATGACTGCTTAGACCATGGGCCTGGACAGCATGGATGGTTGCGCCATATTGTGAATATACTTGCTACTATGACCACTAAATCGTACACTTTGAAAGAGTTAAAATTGTCAGTTTTATGTTCTATGTATTTTACCAAATAAAAAAGTTAGAACACATACACACACATACACTACCAGCTTTGAAATATTAGAGATACATCTGATTGCCTCTTCCTTCTCAAATGGAACCCCACCCCCAATTGATTATATTTTCCATAGATGTTTTTAGATTTTTACTCCTTATGTATATATTCTTTAAAATATAGTATTACTGACCAGATTTTTTTTTTTAAATCATGCTTCTGATCCACTATCATTTCTCCTCTTTGTGAAGTCAAAAACCTTAGTGAGACTCACTAGCTTTGAAACTAGTGTCTCATTTTCATCTTCTGTAGAAGGGGAAAATAATGTTATCTATTTCAAAAGGTAAGGAGAAATATGGGCTCATTTTAATTTTTTTTTAGTTGTTGATGGATCTTTATTTTCTTTATTAATATGTGGTGCTGAGACTCGAACCCAGTGCCCCCCACATGCTAGGCAAACACTCTACCACTGAGCCACAACCCCAGCCCTAGGCTCATATTTTTAAAGCACTTAGAAGAATCAGCTATTTTCATTAAGCCAGGCAGAGTGGCACATGCCTGTAATCCCTGAGACTCGGGAGGCTGAGGCAGGAAGATCCTAAGTCTGAGGCCAGTCTGGGCAACTTAGCAAGTCCTTGTCTCAAAATAAATGAAAAGGACTGGGGATGTAGCTCAGTGGTAAAGT